AGAGTCTCTATTGAGCCTCTTAACCCAGTCCAAGCTGTGAATGACTTCTTGTTCCATATTTTAATGCTCAAGTTGATTTATTTAAAGTTTTGTTGGTTAAGAACAGCCACTCTGATGTCAGTGATGAAATGTCCAGGGAGGCTGAAGTGTTTTGTCATAGGCTTTTGTGATTTATATATATTATATATATTTTATATGCATGTTTATACATTACATTAAAGGCATAATCATTAGGGGCCTGCAAAGGGGGCCCTATTCAATTCAGATTTGGCCTGCATCAGGGACAGTGATTCAATTAATTGATTCAGATCACTGTCCCTGATGTGATTCAGCCGAATCCGAAGATTCAATGCTGATTCGGACAATCAGCGATTTGGACATAGACCCAGCTTTAAGTGGTTTTTTCTATATACCTTGAGGTACCAGTGCAGCATGTGATCGATGCTGGGGTGCATGGAGCGTCCCACAGGAGTGGGGGGGGGACCCTCCATGTGCTCAGCGGCGAACCTGGGACTAGACTGGAAGTACTTTAGGTCCACTTTCAGGTCTGCCAGGGAGCACACTAGCCCCCCCCACACCAGCAATCAGCTGCAGGGAGACCCTGGGTGCCTCCCCCAACCCAGGAGGTATAAGTCGCCAAGCCAGGAGGGCGGGGGACCCCCAAGCACACTCCCCGGCAGACCCGGAAGTGGACTGGAAGTGCTTCTGGTCCACTTCTAGGTCTGCTGCAAAATGCGCTGGGCAGCCCCTTGTGCTTCTGTGGGACGCTCCATGCACCCCAGCATGATAGCATTCATGAGCCCCTGCTACCTGGAGGTATGTAGAAAAAACATTTAAAGCTGTCTCTATGTCTGAATCTCTGAATTTCTCCGAATTGATTCGGAGGGTTCCCATTTGATTTGGAGAGATTTAAGGGTCCTTTGATTTGATTTGGAGATTCAGCCATCAAATCTGGCTGAATCTCCACTGAATTGAATCAGGGACCGAAGCATCGTACAGCTCTAATAATCATTGGGTTCTGTTAGAGACCCCCAACCTGGTGCCTCCATTTTTTTTAAAGGCTTTAGCCCGTCTATGTACCGGTGTCTATTTTTAATCTGGTTGTACTATGCAAGACAGAATTTTTCTTTCCAAGGCTCTTGATAAAACCAATTTGAATTTTTTTGATTACCCATGGAATTGTTTTCCTTACACTTCTGTTTTGGAACAACAAATTATAAATGTTATTCATCTCGTCTCTGTTAAAAGAGGTATTTTAAAATCCCTGTTAAATTCAAGTGTGTGTGTGCGTGCGTGCATGTGCATTTCCTAACTTACATCAGTTGTGCCCTTTAAAATTTACTGTGCCGTGTATCTTCAGATACCAACGCTTGAAAGACAGTGCAAGTTTTACTGAGGAGGAAGAAGATGAAATGCCATGAAAAGTCCGTGCTCAGAGCATTATGTTGCTCAATTCTGCCACCTTGTGGCTTGTTTATCTAATTATAAGCTTAGGGTTTGCCATCTCCATTTGTTGGCATGTAACATGGGTTATCAGCAGGGATCCTGGCTTTCTCTATTTAAAAAAACTCAAATTCTCTGATAAAACCCCCAAATTCTCTGATTTAAAAAGCCAAAATCCTCATTTTCCCATGATATATATTTATCTCATGGGAAACCGCCAGCCTGCAAAGGGAAACCCACTGTTTCCCGGGAGGGGGTGTTCCTTTGAAGGAGAAGAGCCATGTTTTTCTCCTTTGAAGGAGAAGAGCCACATTTTCCCATGGCAAATGGAAAACTCAGATTCCTGGTTATCAGACTAGGTATCTATTACCTGAGAACTAAGCAGACAGAACATGATTGATATTTAAATGTTTTGTGGATATTCCTTAATACTTGATAAACTCCATTTAAGCAAACCACTTAAGCAAAGGGATAAATCCGGTCCTAATTATCAAAACAGGGGAAGTCTCTGGGTCTTAAGCCTGTATGTATGCAATTCGGTGAAAAGGATTTGACTTAAGCTCATGCTGAATACTCTGCTGAATTGGAGCCTAAAAAAAAGCATCTAAAATGAAGTGGTATTGGACATGAAGTCCATTCATCCAACTTCTTAAATGTAGTGTTGTATAGGGGTGGAGAACTGGGTACATTAATAGTTATTGAAAATAATGCAAGAAACTACCTTGCACCATTGAAGCAGCCTAGAGGGTCAGCAATCAGCTGCAGGGAGATATATGTGACCAGAAGGAAGAGAATGAGATGCACACCTTCAGGCTCCAGGAGACAGATACTGTCCTATGATCAAATCTTGCTCCCAATGAGACACTCTTTCTATTGGGGACATCTACATGCAACACTTTACTGTGCGGTAGACTAATTTATTCTGCAGTAAAGCATCACAGTCTACACATGCAAGTAAATACAGGTACTAGATTAACTGCACAGTAGTTACTGTGCAGTACTGCACTTGTAGATGCTGACTGGGAGCAAATTTGCTCCTGGTCAGCCTAGGCAGCAGAGAGCCACAGGGGATAGGGAGCTCTCTGTCCCTGGTCCTGGCACTGGTTAGTTTCTGGCTTCCCCCGGGACCTGGGAGCCAATCAGTGCTGGAACTTGGGAATCCTGCCCTCCCCTGTCCTGGCAACCAGCCAGACCTGGACACAGGCACAGGCGAACTGGGCAGCCACCTGGGGCCTAGACAGAAAGGAGACCTGAAAATGGTGATTTTTTCCCATTGTCTGATTATTATTAGGATTATCTCTGGTGAAGGGGGGCCGGATACTAAAAGTTTGCCCAGGGCCACCGGGAGTCTAGGTATAGTACTGGTCCCAGCTCTGCACTGCATGGAGCTGCGAACTCCAGCCCCCACTTGCTCTCTGGAGTTCCCAAATCCACAGTGCACAGAGCTGCTCCAGGGGCAGGCAGGGGCTCACAACCCAAGCAGGGAAGCTGCTGGCAAGCCCTGTGCACCGCCATTCAGAAGGGAGCTGGCTGGGAACTGTCCTGCAAGTGGGGCAGCTGTCAACCATCCCCCTGCTGAGTGGGGTGGGGCATGGGACTTGCTGGCAGTTGCCCCACTTGTGGAATAGTTCCCTGCTGAGCTGGGGGGCCTGCCTAGCCAGAGGCTCACTGGCAGCTGCCCCACATGCAGGACAGCTCCCAGAGAACCTCCTGCTAGTAAGGAAGCCCCGCCTGGCAGGGGGCTTGCTGGCATCTGTGTGTCCCGATGGGCACAGGGCCAGGAGAGACCTGCCAGATGCAGCAGCAGCTGTCTCCTAGGCCTGTGCACTTCAGACTCATCCCAATGTCCGTGGGGTCAGGAAAAAGCTGCCGCTGTAGCCAGCAGAGCTTTCCTGGCCCCATGCACATGGAGACCGGCCCCCTTGCCAGCACCTGGCTGCTGCAGGGGGGCAGAGCAGGGCAGGAGCAGCCCTGTACTGGGCTGCTCCCATTGGGAGCAAATCTGCTCCTAACAGGGTACACATGTAGAAGTGCTCTCAGGGAAGGTTTACTGCACAGTAAGCCTACTACGAATTAATAGCCTATGTAGATCTGCCCTATGGGTCTCTACCCATTTTATGTTATGACTATTAGGCATACATGTTGAAGGTCCTGGTGAGCTCTCATGCACCAGGATCACCATGATCCAGAAGGATTGACATTTGCCTATTATTTCTACTGCTATTAAATGCAAAGTACAGTAAGACAACTTCAAGAGACCTGAAGAGGGGTCTTACTTTGGCAACATTTAAAGGATTAATTTTCTCAAAGTTCACAGTTCCATATGTGAAACAGATTTGATTTTTCAGGTAATGTTGAGTTTGCCTCAAAATGTGCATAAAATAGATTCAGATAAAGCAACTAGTATACACCTGGGTAGAAATATAGGATTTCAAAGATTGGACCCATTCCTTTTTAGTCAAAGAAGAGAACTGGTTGTTCAAGGAATATGGAATTAATGGAATGGTCCTTTGGTTTTACTATGTTTCTGTGGGAGGCATTTAAGTAATATGTTAGAGGAGGACCCATTACATTTGTAGAAGAGCAGTTGATCTTGGAGGGGGGAAAAATAAATCTCTTATTTTCTAAGAACGAAAAGGTTAGGCTAATTAACTTGACTATTATGTCAAAATGAGACCAAGTAACAACTTGGAAGCAAAACTAGCTATTTCTTATAGAAAATATGTCTTTTATCTAATTTTGACAGTTATACCTGGAATTATAGTAGAAGAAAATTAAAATGTGCATTTATAAGCAATCCATTTTTTTAATTCTGTAAAGATCATGTTCATTACAGACCAATAGGCCAGATTTTCAACTAGTGGAAAGTGACATCATTCTATTTAAATTCCTGAAGGCATTTTCTCCCTTTGAGCAGCAAAAAGCATGTGTGTCTTGTAACCTCATTTGTTTGCTTTAGTCACCAGTCTGCTTGCACTAGCTATCAGAAATTTCAACAAAAGAATAAATGGTTTAAGTGCATAGAACTGTTCTTTCCAGAGATGACCTCAGCTTTGTTTCAGGGAAACATGCAATTTCCATTCAGTGTCTCTAAGAAATTTCAGAACACTGTGGCCATGATTCAGCAAAATTTCAGAACATACTTAGACTCAGGAAGTATTGTTTGTACCAAAACAAAACAAGCGCAGTAATCACTGGTATGCTTGAAAATTAAAATTCATTAAAACTGTTCCCCCCTTGTACACATCTTCCCAAAAACAAGTCTATAACATACTGAATTGCAGATGTTGACCAAATTAGGATCATTTCCTTGTTTGTTTAGTGCTGTCAGTGTAATCAGTGCTGATGTATTACTAAAGGCTGTTTTGTTTATCAGGTCCTGTAACCCTTTTTATTGCTCATCTGCCTCTCTGTTCCTGTTAACACATACCCCAGAAACTTGAAACGACTTCTGTTAACACACCCCTGAAATGATACAGTATACTCCTGTCTTGGCAGCCAACAAACCTATCACTCTACAATGAATTTTAATCAGATTTTATGTTTTTTGGAATTAGGAAAATGCTCAGACAATCAGAGAGGTGGAGGTAGATAAAGTAACAATGTTGGAAAGAAAGCAAGTGGAAGCAATCAAGAAGCTCTGGGAAGACCCAGGAATCCAAGAGTGCTATGACAGACGGAGAGAATACCAGCTCTCTGATTCTGCTAAATAGTAAGTACCTTGTCTTAGCACACCATCAGTGCAAGGTTCTCTCAGAGCACGGTGGCCTCATTCTGATCTTGTATTTACCCCTGCACATCTCTTGGCATGGAAATCTTACTTAACCTCCACATTCTGAGATTAAGTTAAATAAATCTTTGAAGGAGGTTTTTTCTTTTCTTTTTATTTAAGCTTTTAAATTTCTCTCTCTCTGTCTGCACACTGAAATCATTAGCTGGCTATCTCCCCACCCCCCAGTGCTGAGGTCAATATAGCTGGCATGTAGCTAACTTGGTCTTTGGGGAGAGCTTGAAAACAGCTGCACCAGTCTTCATGGACAAGAATCAGCTTCTAAATTGCATAAAAGTAGTTGTAAAATATGTAAATCTTGGTGTACAAATTAGTCACCTCTGAAAGTTCTCTAACTAATTTTGAAACCCATTTTCTTTTGTCCAGGAAGGCACAAATTAGTTCTGAGGTCACAGACCTAATCTGACACTGCTCCTCAGGGGGGAGATATAACATCTTCACTTTCACAGTTTGTGCTAAACAGGTGTTCTAGCAGGTGAACTGGTTTATTTTTTGTAAGCAGGAAGTTCTGTATATTCTGGTGACCTTTTTTAGTTAAGACTTCTTTCAGTGGGATGGTGGGGGGAGGGTAAATTTAGTACGTTGCATATATTAGATATGAGGCATTGTTTCTGTAAGGGATGTTTTCTGCTTCAAGCAAGAATAGTTGGAAAATGTCTTGCTTTCTGTATTTCACACCAGGATTCTGGCTGGTCTGGTGTTTCCGTCTAGCGGTGAGAAGAGAGAATGCAGGCATCACTAATCCTTTCCATCGCTGTTCTCTTGTGATTTCCTCCTGTAATGTTTATCTAAGCAAAAGAATGTGGTTCTAGGACATATATAGTGTGACATGAAAATTTAAATTGGATCTTTAGCATAAACACATTAAGAAAGGAAAGAGAAAATATTTACTTTTTTCCTTTATCTATTAATATAAATTTGATTTTGTCCTAATTAATGGAAAACAGCCAGTAGGTCACCGTAACATCAGAAAAATCAGAACATTTCTATCTACCATGTCATGGAAAATGCATCATATTTGCAGATGCAGCCTTTTTAAACATGTTTGTGTAAATCAAAAATACAGAGAATGAGGAAGCAGAGAGGGGGTGGTGCTACGTGTTCAAGCTTGGTATGTACTCACATACTGTAAGAATATGTTACCTAAATAGGCAGAATTATATTTTTTTCTTTTGTCTCCAGAAAAGCTTGTTGGTGACAAATGTGTCATGTATAATGAAGGCGTTGCATAAACAAAAACAAACTTAACTGTTATTCTTTATTGTTGTATTTTGAGTGCCTGTTAATTGTCTGAAAAATGAGATTAGTGATCACATTCAACTGAAGCAATATGTTGCGGCAGTCCCATTGCATTAAGTTCACTTAGATATGAGGAAATGGATCATGAGAGACAGGCTAAAACATTCATGGAAATTTCAGTTTTAAAACCTCGTGAGAAAGCTGGTAACATAAGAAATACTGGTAATGATGAATATATTTGTACATACTAAGCTTCTTTTTGCCAATATTTAGAACCTGTACCAATTTCTTCTTCGGTATACGTTCTATGATTTGTTTTTCAAGAGACATTTAACGTAAATTGTTAGGGTTATTCCTCAGATTATTGGAGTTAAACATGCAATCTGATTAAGCAGAAGTTCAGGTGTGGCTGTATACTTACTCTGATTGTTGCATGTGCATCTAACTTTGCAGTTACCTTACCGACATTGATCGTATCGCTATGCCATCATTTGTGCCAACTCAGCAAGATGTCCTTCGTGTCAGAGTGCCAACCACTGGAATTATTGAGTACCCTTTTGATTTAGAAAACATCATTTTTAGGTAACATTGCCTGCACTGTATTCTCTCATAGCTTCCTGCTGAGATTCCTGATATAAGAGATTATTGACCTTTGGATTCAGAACAGGATTAGTTTAAGTTTCTGGCACTTCAATAATTGAATTTAGTTTCCAGATATAACTTTGCAGAGGATAATTGATTTTTTTTTGGAAGCCACTTTCTAATTTTTCTAGAGAAAACTTTTAGAAACCATTCCCTTTTGAGACAGTTGATTTTTTTTCTAAATTGCCTCATTATATCCTAACACAGGGTTCGGTAACCTATAGCCCATTGGCTAGATCCAGCTTGTAAAGCTCTGATTCAGGGAGGGAAGGCAATGATTTAAAGGAGCCACAGAAAATAAATGACTTAAAGTCTTGGCAACACTGTGGGCATTGCGTAGTGGGGTTTAAAAACCCCCCAGCCAAATATAGTATTAGCATATACACAAAACATAATACCTTTATCTAAATAATAAAAATATTCTTTGTGCTAGAGCTCACAAAGCAATATAGTAGGCAAAAAAGCATTCCTTCACACCTGCTGGGTGAAGAAACATTAAAAGGATGGGGACTGATTAAATTAAAGCTCAGAAAACAAGATACCAATGACAGAAGTATACAAGGTAATAAAATTGTGTATAATAGATGATCATTCAGGCACTTCTGTTTGTCTTCTCATTCAGGAGAGAGTATAGGAGCAAGACAAAATTCAGTGGAATCAAAAGGTAATAGCTTAAAACTAGTAAAAGCATACATATATACAGTGAATAATTAAACTGGATCTCATTGCCACAGTATACAATTGAGACCAAAGTTTATTAGGTTTCAAAGATATTTTGTAAAATGGGATCATCCATAGTTAGACAGAAAAATAAATTGTAAGGCTTTAGGAATTAGTGCACTTTTCTGTGAGCTAACCTAGTGCTAGCCAATGTTAGAAATACAACACGCGACTAGATGGGATTGCTGATATAAAACTAAGTGACAGTTCTTAAAGTACATATGTAGAATTCACTCCAACATCGATATGTGCCTTTCTACTAATTGTTGGCACTGGATTTACGATCCAGTCCTGATGACTCTTCATTTTTGAGTACCATTGATTGGTTTCCCTGTGGTTGTCATATTGTCCACATTTTCTCCTGTCAGCATATCCCTTTGTTTCTCAAACATATCACATGCATACATCTTAATTTTGTCATTTGGGCATCCCTGGCCTCCTAATTAGGTCAGTCCACCAAAACCGGAGCTATGCAGCTGGTCACTGTGACCTGATGCCAATAACATAGGTTCCTTATTTTTGTTATGGAACACTGTTGGCATGTCTTCAGTTTCCCAGGATGTAAGTGCCTGTCTGCTATGTTCGCACACAGCAGGCGCGTGTACGTGAGACACTAACTGCACAGTAGCGGGCCGGGCAAAAAGCATGCTAATATGCTAGTGTGTAGTAGTATTAGGCTACTGTACAGTGTTATTAAGCTACTGTGCAGTAAGTGTCACTAAAAACCCATGTGCTGGTGCTACTGCACAGTAGTGTGAGTTACTACCTATTAATTTAGTACTTGGTTAACCTGTACTAAACCCAACATGGAAAGAATATACATTGTGCTGTTGCTTTGATGTGGAAGAAACCTGCACAATCCTATATTCTGACAGACCTTTGGAACTTGGGCCTATCAGGGTGGCTATGCTGGACTATAGTGCAATTTGTAGTCCTTCCATAGGTAAATTAATTTAATGCATCTTTCACAGAACGAAGTAATTTGTGAATAGCTCATTTGCACTCTGAGAGGCTCCCCCTTAAAGGGTTCCCTGTGTACATAACGTATAGACATATTTAATAATGGCATTGAAACAAGCCTTGTGCTGGTTTTCTGTTTAACAGGATGGTAGATGTCGGTGGCCAGAGGTCTGAAAGGAGAAAGTGGATTCACTGCTTTGAAAGTGTTACTTCCATCATTTTCTTAGTTGCATTAAGTGAATATGACCAGGTCTTGGCTGAATGCGATAATGAGGTAAGGAATGAGGGTAACTAGCAGAAGGACCAAAAAAAAAAAAAATCTTTTTTCATTAAAATGTTTATAAATACACACCCTATGATTAGTTTACCCCAAGGAACAGGTAGTACAGGACTGTTAGTTGAAAGGTTAATTTAAGCAATAATGGCAGCCCAAAAGAAAAATAAGTTAGGTCTCTGCATGCTGCCTGCAGCTATCAACTGCAAACTCCTTAAAACCCAAGCTCTTTGAGGGCTTGCTGAGCACCCTCTAACTTCTACAGGAATGCATATGAGGACCATCATTGGAATGAGACAGTATTTTCCCATATGCATACTCCATAACCTGCCTTCTACCTGCATTCCTGGGGTCTATGATTGAGAGGAAACTGAGGCGCAATAGGCATACACACTTTTAAGTCCTTAGCATGTAGAATGACGGGATATAACTGCACCATTGGGTTCAGAAACCAAAAGTTCCTGAACTTGGGCACATGAGGGTACATGCACCCACAGGGGGAAGTGCCTGTAGATAACAGACCACAAAGAATTACAGTAACTGAAAGGTAGATGACTTCTCTTTTTCCTTCCATCAGTTTTAGATTTCTGCTTTTTAACATTATTGAATACCCCTTTTGATCTTGTGTAATGAAAGAAGGTAGGGAGAAGAGTAACTTCTATTTAATGCACTTCCATCATATACTCCCTATTCACCATCTTCTCTCAGCTTTTGTATATTTTTTCTACGCTTGTAGGAGTAAAAACCATTGCCTTTTGACTTCACTATACTACCCCCAGGGTTTCCCATCTCATCCCTGATGCATTCTGACATGTTTTGCTTTCTGGACCACCAGAAAATATTAAACAATCCTCTGTAGAACTGTCCACAATCAAGCGCTTGAATGTTCAAGTGACTTCTTCTAATATGTACTACCTTGAATTTTATTCTGCATGTCGTTATGCTGCCCATTGCACTTATTTTCCAGCAGGCCTTATTCAAAGTCCACTGAGCACATAAGCATAAAATATTGAGAAAAGCAATTTATGTTTTTTGCTATAATTTTGCTGAATGGAAACAACCTGGAAAGATCATTTGAAAACACTGATTTTAAGAGGAGAACTCCATTGGAGGTTGATGGTTGAGGTGTGAACGTTTCGACTCTGAAACAGAATCATTTCAAAAGTACTACCACATATATGCTAATATCCAAATTCTGCTTGTAGAATCGAATGGAAGAAAGCAAGGCCTTATTTAAAACTATCATCACATATCCCTGGTTTCTGAACTCTTCAGTCATTTTGTTCTTAAACAAAAAGGATCTTTTAGAAGAGAAAATCATGTACTCCCACCTAATCAGCTATTTCCCAGAATACACAGGTAAGCATTTATTCCACACTATATTCACTCATGATAAAGTTATCACTGACATCAGCAATTAACAAGCTGATTTGGAACTAAGGGTGGAATTCTGTTTTCCAGTTATCTACCTGGCCATTTTTGGCCCTTATTTTATGCAGGGGTTACACTCTGCACAGAGACTGAGAATGCATAGTAGGGTTGCACACTGGTCCGGCATGTACGTGGCTACATATGGGTGTATTTGAGCTTACTTCCTGAAAAGATGATGGGGGGGCGGGGGAGAGGGGGTAGGATTCTCTGTTTTAACCACAGAGCCTGTGTAATTAAGCTACTTCCCTTGTAAGCAGGAGATGTGGGTTCTAGGCCAGAGCACTTGCACAGGAATTTTGATATCTGGGTTTGAGGCCTCTCTCATAGATTATAAGGCTCGAAGGGACCTTGGAAGATCATCAGGTTCCTGTCTTGTGTAGACATGCCTGGTGTGTGTTACTAGAGTCCACTGCAGTATAAAAGCAGTTTGTGGTGCCTGATAGGAGTCCATGAAGCTGCAGCAGTCTTCCTGCACACTAAGTTGTAAGATTGACACCTGGGCCTTGCAGCCAGTGCTGGAATGAAAGTACTAGAACACAAGAGACCCACTTTCATTTAGTCTGATCTGTGATCACAATACGCTTTATGTTCCTACTTTTTGACCTGTATAGGCTTAGCTGTGGCATATCAGAACTATATATAGTGCTAGTCTAGCAACAAATATTATACCTTTTGAATGCTAAGGGGAAAAGTGTGTATTGTTTAGAGAGAAGAGGATTGTAGGAGAAATGGGGAGAGAGGATTTTATATATCCTAAAAGTACACACCATATTTCTATTTGGAAGGAGGTATCAAGTGAGGTTCCCTAGAGTTCTGTCTTGGGTCCAGTATTGTCTAATATCTTCATTAATGATTTAGATGATAGGATTGAGTGCATACTTAGGAAATTTGTGGGTGATGCAGAGCTGGGTGGAACTGCATGTAGTCTGGAGAGTAGGGCTAGGATCCAGAATGACTTGGATGGACTTGAGAAATAGTTCATAATCAATCAGATGAGAATCAGCAAGGACAAATGCAAGTCCTGCATATGGGATGGAATAATAGCATGCACAAATACAGACTGGGGACTAAATGGCTAGGCTGCAGTACTACAGAGAAGGACCTGGGGGTTACAGTAGACTATAAGCTGAGTATGAGCTAACAGTGTGCTCCTGGGGGAAAAAAAAAGCCAACAGCAGACTGGGTTGTATTAATAAGAACATCACTTGTAAATTGAAGAAAGTGATTCTTCTACTCTGTTCAGACCTGGTGAGGCCTTGCCTGCAATACTATGTCCAGTTCGGGGCCCCACACTTCAAGATGAATGTGGACAGTTTGGACAGTCTGGAGCAGCAGGGCTGGGAGATGAGACTTATGAGGAAAAGCTGAAAGAACTAGTCTATTTAGTCTATTATTTAATCTAGAGAAGACTGAGGCAGATGATTATAGAGGCTGGAGATGGGCTTTTTCTCTATGGCTGTAGGGGACAGGACTTGCAGCAATGGCCTCAAGCTATAGCAGCAGAAATGTATGTTGGAGATTAGGGGGAAATGTTCTGACTATAAGGGTGGCCAAGTATTGCAATAGGCTACCTAGAGAAATTGTGGATTTCCATCTTTTCTGGCCTAGAGCAGGTCAGACAGATATTTGGGCTGGATGGTTTAGTCAGGGATTATTCTGCCTTAAGCAGGGAGCTGAACTAAATGACTTTGCAAGGACCCTTCCAGCTCTACTTCCCTATGATCCGGCAAACCTATATTTTCTTGCTAAACATATTATATTTACATTTTTGCTCCTTTTTTTTTTTTTGCTTTCTCTTAATTTCTAGACATTCATAATAATTAAATAAAAGGGAAATTCTAAGAACACACCACCAGCTTAATGTATGCTAACTTAATGTATAAATAAGTCAACCCACAACATTTGTAATCCCAAAAAGTATTCCCCACCTGAACTGATGAGTTAAGGATGGGCTTAGGCCAGCAGTTTTGTTATATCTCTGTGGGTGCATCTACATGTGCACACCACTAATTGTGCAGTAGACTAATGTGTATTAAAGCATCACAGTCTATATGTGTGTGTGTCAATTACCACGCAGTAGATTAATGTAAAAACACCATTTGCTAGTACCGACAGATACCGGTACTAGTTAATGGTACTTCACATTAATGCACCTGAATGCATATGTAGGTGCTGACCCAGGAGCAAATTGTTCCCAGTCATCCCAGGCAGTAGGGGCCCACAATTGCTGCTTGGCTTAGGGGAGAGGCAGGAGCTGGCCTCAGCTTTGGGGGCAGCTCCAAGTGACATGGAGCTCAGGGCATAGCCCCATGCTCTGGGTACCTGGGGGAGAGGGGGGAAGCAAGCTGGCTCCAGTTCCAAGCCATTTGGATCTGCCCCTGGAGCTGGGGTCAGCTCCTGTCCCACTCCCCAGAGCTTGGGACTAGTTCTGGTCTTCCGGCCACTTGCAGCTGCCTCCAGAGTCAGCTCCTGCTGTAACTACCAGGGCTCAGGGTACCCAGAGCTGGGTCCAGCTCACCTCCCCAACTCCACAGAGCCCAGGCCTGACCCCCCGTGTCCTCTGCCAGCCACAGGCTGATGTCTGTGCCTCTTGCCAGCCCAAGACTGGCCCCCAGGCAGCTGTGGCTGGAGCCTGGGGCTCCCTCTGGCTGCTGCAGGGGGGCAGAGCAGGGCAGTAGCAGACCTGGATTAGGCTGCTCCTGTTGGGCTCAATTTGCTCCCGCACTGGGTGCGCAGGTAGACATGCACCTGGGCACAGGTTATGAGCCTGAATTTTCTGCGCAGAAAATTCACATACATTAATTGTGTGTAGACACAATCTGTTGTATCAAAACTAATATACTGACAATAATAACATATTAAATGCTAAATCTAAAGTTAGAAAATAATGCTGTAGTTAGTAACAGCTAGTAATGACCTTCTTGACCAAATAAAATCTAATGATGCTGTCTTCAGAAAGATATAAATGACACAAAATAGGTGAAGCCAAGCAGTGTGTCAGACCATTTAATTATGCAGTAAGTTTTCAAGTATTATTAGAATCTTGTACAATGGCAGCTTTAAAAATATATGTATCCCATATACCCAAAGCTAGCTTGTAGAAGCAATTTTGATAGAGCACTCTAGTGTTGAAAGAAAGTTGTCCCACAAATAATTAGAAAGTTGCAAAGGTAATGTTATTTCTAGGTGTTGTAACAAGTTCAGTCCCAAAGATATAACACTGTCTGTGATACCAGAAGAAAATGCCTTTGTTTTTAACATATCGTAATTGCTTGGTATTTGACTAGTAAGTTTTATGACTACATTGTGTTTTCTGTCCTTTAAAAATATTATACTTTTGTACCTCTAAATAGGACCTAAGCAAGATGTCAAAGCTGCCAGAGACTTCATTTTGAAGCTATATCAGGATCAGAATCCAGACAAAGAGAAAGTAATCTACTCCCATTTTACTTGTGCCACAGACACGGAGAATATACGCTTTGTCTTTGCGGCTGTCAAGGATACTATCCTACAGTTAAACCTGAGGGAGTTCAATCTAGTGTAAAGAAAAAAACACAGCTTAGATCAAGAGAGTAATTTATCCAGATAGTGTAGCTCATTTAAAAAAAAACCCCATTGTTTGCAGACTTTAACAATCGCTACAAAAGACCAAGTAATGCAGGTACATAGATGGCTGTTGTCCTCTGAAATAGTGTACTTACAGAAATGGAGGCTTTTCTGTACATTTGATGACATTGAAATGTTTATGGAAACTAATGGATTAGTAGAACTTTAAGGAAGAAGGTCCAAATTTGATGGATTTTTTTAAAACTATATATTTTAATAATTGTTTTAATTTTTCCTCTTGATTTTGGTTTTGAGATTTTTTTTGGTGAAAAGTATGGTTTTAAGGGTATTTAAGAAAAGATATTTTGTAGAATTATATATAAGTCTATTTCCCATCTACCTGGCATTTTCTTACTTTTTAAAATGCATTTGATAACCATTTACAAACATGGTATAGATTTTAATCAGAGATGCCTTTATAAATTATGATAAAATAATAGTTTTAGGATGCTAGATACTTTAAGATTCTTTTCAAGTTAGACTGAGCTATTAATATTTTCAATGAGTGTAAAGCTATGTGGTAATGTAATACTTCAGCATTTTTATTAGAGGTATTTTTGCTAGGTTGACATGCCAAGCATGTTAAGGCTGTCTTTGAAATGTTACAGAAGATTAATTATTGGTGTCCATGAGGCAATATTGCACCTGAGTCAAAAGTATAATTATGAACACTGGTCAGGCCACAGCTGGAGTACTGTGGCCAGTTCTGTGCACCCCACTTCAGAAGGGATGTGGACAACTTGGAGAGGGTCCAGAGGAGGGCCACTCGCATGATCCGGGGACAACAGGGCAGACCCTACAATGAGAGACTGCGGGACCTGAACCTGTTCAGCTTTCACAAGCGAAGGCTGAGGGGGGACCTGGTGACCGTCTATAAACTAACTAGAGGGGACCAGAAGGGTTTGGGAGAGACCTTGTTTCCCCTAGCGCCCCCTGGCATAACAAGGAATAACGGCCACAAGTTGTTGGAGAGTAGGTTTAGATTAGACATCCGTAAGAACTACTTCACAGTTAGGGCGGCTACGATCTGGACCCAACTTCCAAGGGAAGTGGTGCTGGCTCCTACCCTGGGGGTCTTTAAGAGGAGGCTTGATGCCTACCTAGCTGGGATCATTTGAGCCCAGTTTTTTCTCCTGCCCAGGCAGGGGGCCAGACTTGAAGATCTACAAGGTCCTTTCCGACCCTACTTCTTTGATTCTATGAAGCAAGTTGATGACACCTCTGCTAACATGACAGGGTAACCCCTGAACCCAGTGGATATCCCATGTAATTTACTTATCAGATCATCGTGGCTCACACAGGGAATTATGGCTGCTTTTTCTTGAAGAACTTTTAAGTCCTACTATTATCTATCCCAGGACCCTCTAGCACAGGAAAAATAGGGTGCTACTGAGGAACAGAGAGTGGTATACTCTTTATCAGTACCTAAAGTTTTGCTCAATCTAACACAGGTTTAACAGTTAGGTGCAGGGATGTTCCTTACCCACACATGACTACTTTTCAGAAGAACTTCATATAAGGAGATCATTCCCATCATATTATGCAACCACGACAGAATCACTTAAAGATTGCATCAAATATAGCTGTACCAATGCCTCACACAGTCTTAGGAATGTAGGGACTTCTTCAATGATTGATTTAATCCCCTACAATATAACCCCTCCCACACACCACAGCCACAAAGCACCCTATAACAAAACCCTATGATCTTTAGTACCAAGTAACCCTATATAATGATTCAAAGGAAAAAGAGGGCCCTCCACTAACGGAAGGGAATTAGTGAAGTAAAGTATGCCTTCATGACTAAGAATGGGATTGTGGCTCTGGGGATAGAAACCTGATTCAGAAAGAGCTAATTCAAATAACTAGCATGACTTTACTTTCACACCTAAGCCCATTAGAATTTAGACTGAAGCACATCCTCAAAAAACAAATGCATCTCAAGATGCCTAGGATTTTAAAATCCTTTTGTCCCAATACAATATAGTCCTAACACGCAACCTGCCTTGAGCAATAGGAACCCAGGTCTTATCAAGAAACCACTTTCCTCAATTTTCACCTCTGCCTCTAAATACTGCACATGTTGTCAGTGAAGTCAAAAGACCCTATGCCACTAGACAATGCATGTATGCAAACAACCCCACATCATGATCAGGATGTCTTTAAAATCCCTCATGGATATGCCATAAGCCCCATTGCTCATGTTCTACTCTCCCAAATACACATTTATACTATCATCCTGTCCCTTCCATAACCCTATGAAGCTGTCTTGTAACAACTCAGACTTCTTGTCCCCACTATTTTATTCACAATGGGCAGCTCCTCTCTGCTACTTGTTAGATACCTAATTTTCCAATTGAAAAGGTATTCATTACTGGCTTGCATGCACTAGATTTTGTGTCAATATGGTTCTTTAAGTTAAACAGTGAATAACAGAGGAGAAGAGCTATCTGAATGTTTATAAAAAGCAAACCATCTCTTCCCAATTGTCATTGGCTAAGCTAAGCTTTTCTGAGCTCCTCTTATAAAATTCTTATAGTCACCCTAATCTCCATGTGAGTGCTAAACGACCCAAATTCTAAGCCTTCCATTTTTAAAAAACAACATTTAGATAAGCTATAATGTTGGGTATAAAAGCAATTGATTTTTATGTACACAGTATGCTTAAGTGGGAAGGTTATTAATGAGCTAGGTCAATTATAGGCATGTCAAGAGGCAATTAAAAAAAACAGTGCATAAAACTGTCATGTAATCAATACATGGTAAATGTATATATGTACTTCTATACATAAGCAGAACTGTTTTCTTGTAAAATTTTCCTCTGTTTAATATGACAAATAATTGTTGTTATACCTGAAAAATGTAAAAACAGAAAACTTAAAGTTTTGGTTCAATATGAAAATGTCATTGTGTCTACAAATTTCAGTTCTTTTTGCAGAATAATCCTGTCTGCGTTTTTCTCACCCACACCTCCAACAGTGGAAATGATTTTGGTTTTACTTCTATAAAGTGTTTCTTCCATAAAAGGAACCTTTAAGGTGGATTTCCACTCAACATTGATTAAAGAAGTCAGAAAAAAAACTGCACCACTCACTTTTTAGTCTCTGTACATAATGAGAGCAAGACAGCTTCTTCTCCCAACCAGTTCTTATTAATACAATGTCAGTCTAAGCATAGGTAAGGTCTAAACAAGCTTTTCATTTTCAACAACAGGAGTATTTGGATCTCTCTCTCTCTTCCCCCCACTCTCCACGATGTGTGAACTACAAATCTGATTACACCATCCAGTATTAACAAGACCAATTTCCTGAATATGACTGGCGTCATTCTGGTATAGGATGACCCAAGCCGAGCCTTGATTGAATTTAGAACCCGTTTTTGAGTGCAGGATGACCATATGCTGAATCCTCTAATGTCCACTTACTTACTGAATGCTCTTGCCTCCCCCAAATTGGATCATGACCTCATTTGAACTCCACTTTGAAACCTTGTTTTTGTTCTGGGATGACCTAAATTGAACTTCATTTGGGTTTGATGATATTCTCATCTGATGCCTGCTTAAATGCTACTTCTTGCCCAAGGCATGGTTATGATCTCATATGACCCCCAGGTTGAAGGCTGAACCTTGTTTTGGGTGTAGGATGACCTCAGTTGACCCCTAATAGTGCTCCTTCCCATGGGCCTCATCATGACTGTTTGGCCTCTGATTTAATTCCATTTCCTACTTGGTCATGATCTCTTTTGTCCCCAGTTTGAAGGCTGATCCTCACTCTAGGTTTAGGATGACCTCATGGTGATGGCATTAAATTCCACAGGAGTACCTTGCTCTCGGCACAAAGTCAATGCTCTAAAGTACTTGCTCCCTCCCTTCTGGAATCCACCCTTCCCAGCCAAGAAGTACCCATGTCAAATCCTCTCCGTCACTATTTATGCTCCTCCAGCCCCCTCCTCTCCTGGCTGGGATGCTCCACAAGAGCCCCAAGCTATCTCATACACCAGTAGAGCAGGGAGCAAACGTTGGATGGTCTGAACCGTATGAACTATTTGGCACCCTCCACCCCACCCCCCCGATTATGTGCTACTCAGTGCCCTCATCTAGTCATGAACTCATATGACTCCTAGATTGAAAACCGAGTCTCATCCTGGGTTTCAGATTACCTTATTTAACCCCTTAATGATGAAGGGCTTTCCACCTTGGGTCTGGTCACAACTGCCTTTGACCACCTGCTTCAGATTGAGCCTGGAAAGATCACGGAGCAAGTCTTCAAGGAATCTATTGTGAAATACCTAGAGGAGAACTGGTGGAAGGAAATGCAGCCAAAAGTACTGTAAGCTGGATACATAAATGGTTGGATCATCATGCTCAAAGAAAAGTTAGCAATGACTTGGGAGGGCATATCAAACCAGGCTCCCAGGGGGCTGTAAGGTATCCAGTATTATTCAACATCTTCATTAATGATTTGATCAGTTGGATTAGTACATGTTTAGCAAATATGAGGATGACACCAAGTTGGGTGGAGTTGCAGATGCTCCAGAGTAGGCCTGGTGTTTAGAACGGCATGGATAGGTTGGAGAAATTATGAGATTCAGCAAGGACAAGTGCAAAGTATTGCACTTGGGACAGAATAATTTAAGGCACAAGTACAGACTGGAAAATGCATAGCTATGCTGCAGTCATGCAAAGAAGGACCTCGGGGTTAAAGGAGATTGATCGTAAGTTGAATATGGGCCAATAGTGTGCTCTTGTTGGAAAAAAAAAGCCAAAGCATTTTGGGTTGTATAGACAGGAGTGTTACTTGCAGATGAAAAGGAAGTGATTATTTCATTCTATTCAGCACTGGTGAGGCCTTGTCTGGGAGTACTGTGTCCAGTTTTGGACTCCACAGTTCAAGAAGGATGTGGACAGTTTGGAAAGAATCTAGAGCAGAGCAACACAAATGATCAGGGGCTTGGGAGACCAGATTTATGAGGAAAGGCTGAAAGAACTAGGGTTATTTAGCCTGGAGAAAAGGAGACTAAGGATTTGACTAGTCTTGAAATATCTGAAGAATGATTATAGAGAGAATGGAGATGGACTATTCTCTGTGGTGGTAGGTGCAGGATTAGGTCAATGGCTGCAAGGTGCAGCAGCAGAAGAAATTCAGGTTGAAGATTAGGAAGAGTTTTCTGACTCTGGGGTGGTCAAGCATTGGAACTGACTACCTAGAGAAGATGTGGAATTTCCATCTTTGTAAGTTTCCTAGAGCAGGTCAGACAGATACTTGGCTGGAATGGTTTAGTCAAGGATGATCCTATCTTGAGCAGAGTGTTGTCTTTCCAGCCCTACTTTAGTAGTTTCTAAATTAAGATAATAGAAAAGTGTCAAATCCATTTAAGAAAATGTGAAAATACTAAGAGGACAGTGAATGAAAGTGAAAGCATGAAAATAACTGTCTCCCGTTTGTATATATAGCATCTGGTCCAGGAAGGTATCATTTTTAGACAGGTTAACTCTTAAGATTACATTCAATCTACAGCACCAGAAGTACAAGGCATCAAACAGTTTTGGTAAGTTCCTTGGAAAGCCTTGTATCTACAAAGCTCCATGGTGTTTGCCAACGTTATTCTCTTGTGCAAACCAATGCTGTTTCTTTAGCTCTGGATCTGGAATGGAGGGAGGTGGA